CTATTTTGTGCTTTCAGGCTCATATAACTCTGACCCAGTGATGCCATGCAAGCCTCTATCTGTCGGCTTCCCTCCTCCAATCTGCAATATTAGAATTATTATACTGATATTGGGCTGTTGCGATGGTTACAGATGTGTGTCCTGAGTGCTCTGCTAGAGTATGTAATTCCCAGGTGGCTTAAAAATTGCCAGTTGCCTTGTCCGATAAAGCAAGTTAGAAATGCATCTGGATAATCAGTCAAAAAAGTTGTGCAAAAGTTCCGATATGGATTAGTTTACATGATTAGACATGATTAACTTCAGAGTGGAGAGGCTGCTTTGTTTGAAAAAGGAAATTGTAGCTTACTTGCAAAGCTGTATCAAGCATTCGTCTTACGCACCAAGGTAGAAGATAAATTGCTCCTGATGAAAGAAACGAAAATCATTTGCAAAACTAACTATCAGAAGTGGAACCATACAGAAGGTCTTCCCCTGTCCAGAGCACAGCCTAGTCCAGAAAAAGGCTCATGCCATGGAGCAGAAATACCAGCCTGCTCCAGATGCAACGCCATCTGATCTTCATCCAACCACCAGTCGGGTTTACTACAAGATACGCTGAGTTCCTGTCTAATCAGGTTGAGTCACACAACGGAAGGTCTAAGAAAAAGCAGTGTCAGATTAACTCAGAAGCGTTCTTTGGGGATAAAAAGAGATTAAGACTGCTCTTCTAGTTGGCTTTAAAAAGAATCAAATCAGATTGTCAAGGCCAAAGATTACAACAATATTATAATCCTTGCAATTCCACCTTAAAAGAGGAGGACCAGAATCTTGAGGTGCGGGCTGTGATCCTCTCCCAGCTGTTCCTTCCATGTGTTTTTGGCAAACATCAAAAAAAGGGTTTCCCTTAACTGAAATCTGATTCAGTTGGTGGATAAGTCCGTTCCAATATATTCCTACAGCTGAGACAGTTCTTTGAAATATCTAAACATACATCTGCAGGTCCCTCAATTTGTCAAGCATGTTCTTTCATAGATATCTTTGGTCAGTAATGAGCTGGTTGACATTCAGTGAACTGAGGTCAGTCCAGACAAAGCACAGATCTCTGTGTATGTGAGAGGCAGGCAGTCTTGAATGAGTCTTTTGTGGCCATTAAAGAACAGGTTCACAAGTTGGGCATATTCTAGAATGGCCAGGTGGCACAGATGGCCAAAAATGTGGGTTCTTTTTAGATTCACCTGGTACAACCCAGAAGGGACTGGAGAATAAGGAACAGGTCTGCTGCTCTGCATATAGTTTCTCCATGTGTTTGCTTTTAAGGCACCCTGGTGTGTATGCCCTTGAAGATAGTTTGGAAGCATCAAGTGGCTGGGAATTTGACAGACCAACTCTTGAGGAGATCATAAGATTCACGATGCTAAAATGCACTGGGATTGACCTTTAAGAGCTCCATAGAAAATGGACCTAAAATAGCACAAGGAAGCTCTTTTAGGAGACAGGCTACTTCCGATGCTTCCATCATAAATGGTGCCATTATTCTCTGCTAAATGTAGGAAGTCCACATTGTAGGTCTCCCTTAAAATCCTGCATTGTAATCTTCCCTCCGTAAGGAGACCTCTTAGAATAGTCTTCTGCATCTTGGGTGCCCTTCTGATGTGTGGACTTCAATTTCCAGAACTCACCAGCTCACAAGACTACTGCTAAGAACTTTTTTTTTTTTTTGGAAGCTTCATTTGTCTGTCTTGGTTCATGACATCTGCATTTGTTTATCACGTAACACTTTAAAACCTTTTGGGGAGATCTTGTGTGTGGACTGAGGGCGACAGTGTGGAAGTAGGAGAAGTAAAGAACTGGGCAGAGATGGAGGGAGGAAATGTGGGAGAGCTAAGTCAGACCTGAACATGGCTATCATGTCACACTCAAGCAGGGCTGACCACAGAGGAGAGTGTCATAAATGTCAAGATAGCGCCAGGGCTGCATGATCGAACCCTGCCCGTTTTGTATGTACAGCATGTGGTTGCAGCTACCATCTTGACTTTTTTGACCCTGCCTCCTTGGGATACCTCTGCCTCAAAGTCTTCGTTTCTTCAGACTGGACACTGCAAGTTCTTTAGCCTATCCTCATACAGCATGTCCTCAAGTCCCTGTTTCATCTTTATTACCTTCCTTTGAACCTTTGGTCCCAGTTTGAAGAGCACTGAATTTAAATGCTGCGAAATGAGTGAATGATGCATAATCTGGAGCGACAACCTCTGCTTCTTCTATGCTTAAAAACGGACAGGCTACAGCCCAGTGATTTCACAAACATAAGGACCTCAAAGCAACAGGAGTGGAGAGTCCCGGAGTTAATTAAAGATAAGCTCTCAGCAAGTATGGCTAGAGATTGTCCCAAGAAGGTCAAGGTCCTACTGCAATAAGTAGGCCTCACGCAATGCTGTCATTAATAAGCATCTCAGAAGAGGCATGATGCTGACCCATTTTGCATTGGTCAGGGTTGGAATTAACCAAAAATGTTGGCTCTTGGGTTCGACAAGGGAAGACTTGCGGCATTTGCTGTCTGGCCAAATCTAAGGAATTGCCTTCAGTTCCAACCCCCGATGTGGTTTCTGCCGTATAGCCAAGCGAAAGTGGTCACGTTAAACCCTACCAGCCGTTGCAGGGCTTGTAGGCTTAATTACAGGGCAACCTGAAGACTGGCGGTGCCCTGGAGGCTGCAGCTCAGACACGGCGCAGTTGTGTGTCAGTCCTGGAGGGAAAAGAAACAAACTGTGCCCCAAACCTCTAGAAGTGCAGAAAGTATTGAAAGGCCTGGGTTCGGATCTCCACCCAGCCCTGTCATTCGTGGGAAGCCCTTCTTCAACTCTAAAATACGGCAAAGGGTAGTTGCAAAGAGAAGCTGGCACAAAGGGGCAGTGAGGACCTCCAGCACGTTTGGGGGGAAAGATGGGAGGGGAAACTCTGTGTGTTGGCGTATTTCTCCTATTACCATAATCAACAGGGGCTCCCAGCAGCTCACGTTCCTGAAAGCATGTAAAACATCGGCCATAAAGACAGAAATAAAATATGAAATAGCAATACTGAAATAGTAAATAATAAAAGAGTAATAATTTTTCAGTCCCCCCCCCCCCTTCCCCCGGCCCCTATGGGGGAAAGAGAAAGGCCCTTTTGGGGGATAGCCCCCCCCCCCCCTTCCCCCGGCCCCTATGGGGGAAAGAGAAAGGCCCTTTTGGGGGATAGCCCCCCCCCCCCCTTCCCCCGGCCCCTATGGGGGAAAGAGAAAGGCCCTTTTGGGGGATAGCCCCCCCCCCCCCTTTCCCATGGCCTGTAGTGAGTAAGGAAGATGACCTTGATGGAGATATGCCTCAGCACCTGCATGTCTCTGCCAAGGTCATCTTCCTTACTCCCTGCATGATCTCCAGAACAATTCCATGGACTGGAAACTCTCTGAGTATTGTTAGGCTCTGCAAGTGTCTGGAATCTCGCTGCTTTCTGATGCGAACTTCCTTAATTTTGCACATTCAGCCCAATACAGGAACCAAAACTCAATCACCTTTGGAAATGCATTTTTTTCTGAATCTTTCCACTGTAAAAATGTGCCAGATGCAAAGTGAACCCTCATTTTAACAGATTAACTTGGAGGATGGGTGTCCATTATTCACAAGAGCACATCATCAGGGTTATTCGCATCATTTGTACCAATAATGTAAATCTCAGGAGAAATGGGGTCCATTGCACAGGAACCCTATGAGTTCAGGGTCCAGTAAAACTTCACTGGATTAGAGAACATGTATGCAAAAATAGATATATTCTAGATTACCCTTAAAAATTAACTTTGAAAAAATTGTATTAATAAAATAAATTGCCAGCAGTAAAGGCATATGTTAGAGCTTCAGTTCAAGACTAAGGTGAAATATGATTGTAGTCTACAAATATCTAGATGGTTGTATTATAGATCTTCTGTTGTTAAAATCTAGAACAGGACAAGGTCCAGTAAGTTGAAAATACAGTAAAAGAAAGAACATTTGGGCTGAATATGAGGAGGAATTTCCGAATGAAATGAGTTGTTAAGGAGCACAAGACTCTGCCTGGCTTTTCCCCATAGGAGGCTTTCAACCATGGACTGGATGATTTCCTGTTGGGCAAAGTTTATTAGATTCCTACACCGAGGATGGGATTGGAATATATTTCCAATCCCTATATTCTATGATTCTATGATGTGTGAATAGGATTTAACTTTTTTTTTAACAATGAGGTAAACAAAACTGATAAGCCAGGCTCAAACAATATGCTAGAGTAGAGTAAAATGGAGCTGGGTCATCACATGGTATGGAAACCCACACTTTGTTTTAGCAAGTTGTATGAACTGGGCCATCACCTGAAACCATAATCAAGTTTCTCTGTGTACATAAGAATTGTGGATTTTTAACCAGGTTACAGGTTAAGCCTGTTGTGTGAACCAACCCTTCTTTCTGTCTGTCTCCAATGGCTATAAGTATAGACCAACATCTTTGTGTAGCTCTTCTTCTGAAGCATCCACACTGTTGCTTGCTGGTTATTTCCATGAACAAGTCAAATGTGATCTGATTGTTAATGGCTGGAGTAGCCTTGGCTCTCCTTATCCCAGGGAACACTTCTCCCATTTAAGTACGCCTGGATATTTAAGACCTGCCAACCAGGACCTGCTCAGAATCTCATCATGTGAGGATGGTAGATTAGCTGCCAAAACTCATCTGAGAGATAGTCATTCTGCTTCTTGGCATCTTCTGCAGATAAGCAGAAGCCAGACCAGAGATTGCCTTTGACAATTGATCCCAAGTCCCTATGCTTTATTTTATGGATGTACTTATTTTATTTTATGGATGTTTCCATTTGTATTATATTTTTGCTATATGACTTGATGAGAAATGGGGCTGAACCTTGGGGAAGTGTTTTTAATAAAAGAAATTTTTAAAAATGACTGTTCCCCCAATTGCCCTTTCCAAAGTTGCTTTACCTGAAATTACTTTCTCTGCTTCTCTTTCCAGATGAGAAACCCTTTGTAGTGGAGGACACCTACTTGCTCTGCCCGGCACCTGTCTTACAAGAAGTTGGCATGTAGGTTTATGAAAATACAGGCTTTAAACAGAATAGCTCTTTTCACTGTAACTTTGACTTGTGGATTTTCTTTTGTTTCTGCACTTTCTGATCTGTCCATCCTCCTTTCAGTAATTTTGGGGAGGAAGTAGTGGTTCTTGATAGCCTGATGTCCAAGGTGACCTCAAGAAACAAGATAGAGGGTACAACATCATGATCGAAGCCCCGCCCCTTACCCATTACACTTGTATAAATGGGGCAGGTCTTTGATTGCAGCCCTGCACCCACCATCTAGCAGGCTGGTGGATGTAGCTCTTGCAGCATGGAGGGCATATTCTGTTGCTATTCTGGTCATTCAGAAAATCAAGTAGCCTTCTCCAGCTTGGTTGCCCTGTAGATGTGATGGTGGACTTCCATTCTTCACTGCTGACGTCCAAGTCATCTGAAGGCCACCAGGTTGGAGGAATCTGATCTATAACATACAGGTAGTCCCCAATTTAAGAACGAGTTCCATTCCCAAGGTCTGTCCTTAAGTCGAATTTGTATGTAAGCCAGAACAGTACTATTGTACAATACTGTATAAGTCGTATTGTGTAATGAACTCGAACCATGGTGTATTTAACTCAAATCATTGTGTAACTCTAATTTTGCTACAGTAGGCTCCGTTCTTAACTCTGGGTCATCTTTAAACCAGCCATTCTTAACCCGGGGACTACCTATACAAAGAATCTTCACTACCCCGGTGCTGCATTTTCAAAAGAAGCGGACTGTGAGTCTATCCCCAACAAGTGACTTCTCCCTTCCTTCCTTGTTTTAGGGAAGCTGCTCTTCAAGTGAGCATGAACGACGGCCTCAGTTTCATCTCTAGCTCCGTCATCATCTCCAGCACACACTGTGTAAGTTTGCTTAGAAATCCATCCTTTTGCCTAAGTGCCTGCTGAAAAATCCCCATGAATTTGAATGGGAGGGTCACCGAGAGGCCACCACTGCTAGGGTTTCAGGTCTGGCTTTCCTTGAAAAGCATGTGATTAATGATCCTTTAAAGAGAAGCTGTTTCTCCTTTGCCATTTCAGTGCTTTTTAAAGGGCAGGCTCCTTCTCTTTTGAACTGAGAGTTTAAGTCACGTCTCTGCAGGGCCGACAGACTTTCTGCAATGAAAAGAGTACAGTAAAGGCACTCAGAGCATCTTGGACACGGGCATGCCATGAAAGGGAGTGGTGATGTCCTCTGAAACCATTGCATTTTTATCCTGTTTGTTGTGGAATGATAACTGTGACGCTAGTAACTGGATACCATATTTTTATTTGATTATATTAATATAATATTTATATATTACCTGAACACATGCGTAGCATATGCATAGTATATATTTGTAGGCTTTATATGTTTATATTATCCCTGGGAGGAAATCTCTATTCATCTTCAAGGTGGTTTAGAGAAGGGTGGATCAGGAACAAGATTAATTTAGTTTGCATTTCAGTGTAAATTTATCGAACAGGAGCACAGTTATTGTTTCATATTGTCAGTCCTCTGAGTTGTGCAGTTTGAAAAAGCATATTGGGGAAAATCTGTACAAAAGTTGAGTTCGTGTACTCAAGAAATTGATAGACCAAATGCATTTTATGGGGGAATTACTTGCAATAACTGAAAATGTGTAAACAAAGCATGCATATGTGTCAGGACAAGGACCAAAATCCATGCTCTTTTCTTAAAAAAAGAATTTCAACCTTGATGAGCCAAAGTGTTATGTTCCCAATCACAAAAAACAGAGATGCTGAACATGAATGACAGCATTTTCCACTTTATTGTCGCTTGGATCCTCTGAAGTTTGACCTGCTGTAAGATCTGAGGGTGGCTTCAGTCATGCTCCTCCCTCTTTCTTCTGTGCCCTGTTATGGCTTTATTTCACTGCACCTTGCACATTGTGTATTTAGGCTGAAGATCATTCAAATTCTGTCAAAAGCACATTTCTTGCACTGTCTAGGCCATCTATAGATGCTTGGCAAGCCAACGGGGTCGCGGAGTAACCAAACTGAACTCTTTAAATTCGGGTGCATTTTGCTGAAGCGAGGGCAGCTAGGTTCAGACTGAAAGGTTTTGCATCAGTGAGCATTATTCTTTTCTGAATCTGATCAGGCCAGGTTATATATGTAGAGGAGCGCAGAGATGGCTTTGAAGATGGACACAAAATAGGAGCTTAGGCTGGGAAAACAGGAAGGAATGAGAAAGAGACTCAAGATTGCCCCACTTTGACTTTCTTTGGTGTAAAAGGGAGGGGAGGAGAAATGTTGTCAGGCTTTCAATATTCAGTTATTTAGCCTATATCCACCAAGTGGAGATCTAGGATTTCTTGTAGACTCTGACTCCTCACCTAGCCTATCTTGAAAGACAGCAGTGTAATAGCTGAGGAGCCAGACTGGGGTGCTGCAGTCCTTTCATATTAATTTGGGGGGATCCCAGGAAGTGTATGAACAGGGAACTCTGTGGGTGGGGTGTCAACAAAGTCAAGAGAGGCCTGTCCAACTGATGCTCTACTGCTTTTTGTACATGCAGCATGGATGTGATGCCTTTAGAAAAGGGCAGGGCTTTGGTTGAGTGCGTCTGACTGTCATCTTGACTGTTTTGACCCCCAGGGATCAAAAAAGCATTGAGTCATCCCATTTCATTTTACAGTATTTCTAATGCATCTGGCAGGCACTGGATTCCTTGCCATGATGAATGCCTGCTGCTTTCCAGAGCACTGACACATATCCCTTGCTGTGGGGCTTGCAAAGTCAAGTCAGGGCTTATCTTTGTCTCTGCTGCACATCCTTTTACCCAGACCCAGAAGCAGGGGGGTCCACAGAAAGAAGGCCAAAAAGCTCAAGAGGGTGGTCACGATGCATGTAAAAAAGGGGCAGGGCGTCAGCTGCATGGTTGTGACCACCCTCCTCACTTCTTTTACCCTCTTCCTGTCGGCTCTTTGGCAGCCAAACCAAAAGTCTTCTTTTCCAAGCACAATTTTCATAGAGTCTTCTTTAGCAAGATTCATTGAGATAAAAGGGGAAGAGATACAAGAAGTCCAGGACCCGAAATAGTTTCATTTTAAAACCAACGTATCTCTGTGTACATTAGGGTGAAAACTCTTTGAATCTCCTTCTGCCTTCCTATGTCCTGGTAAGGAGGAAAGTCTGCCCTGATCACGGGCATGCTTGTAGCTGGTTGTTTATAAAACAACCTCCAGAAGGTTTATCAGCCTGGGATCCGGCTCTTGTATCTTTGCTCAGAGTCCAACCCCAGGCATCGCATTAAGAAGGATTCAGGCAAATGGGAACCGGTGCAAAGGAGGGTAACAAGAAGAATCAGGGGACCGAAACCCAATTTTATGAGGAGAGATTGAGGAAATTGGCTCTGTGTAGCTTTGATGAGAGAAGACTGGGAAGGGGTATGGCCGCTCTGTTTCAATACCTGAAGTGTTCCAGCAAAGATCAAGACCTTCTCCACCCTTCCAGAGGGCAGGACACACGACAGTGGGTTCTGATTCAGAAAGGTTCCTCAGGTTCAGAGTAATTTGGCAGTGGAAGCCGAACCCCAGAGCGGTCCTGCCTCCCCTTTGCTAGAAGTACTCAAGGAGAGGCTGGACCACCATCTGTCAGGATGTCTCCTTTGGATTCCAGTACCAAACAGCGGGAAGAACCCCATGGCTTTGACGGTCCTTTTCACCTCTAGGACTCCATGATATGATTTGGCACAGAAGGAGAGAATGAGTTTATCCCCTATGCGCTGCCAGCTCTACTGCTAGGTGACCTGAAGCAGCTGCTTTAAGCACCAGGTCGAGACAGGTGGCAAAATGGAGCCAGCCCCCCCGCCCTCGCCCCGCAATCTGTCGCTTTCCTGATCCATCACCTAGAACAACAGTGTCCTTGTACTTCAGGTGGGAAGTTCCCCAGAGTTGCTGTAGTTCACCTCCACGGCTCCCCCCAGAAAGCTTCTGGCATCAAAGGACTTTGAGACATCCTGGGAATGCCCCATGTTGAGGTGGTCGATAGCCACCTATATAAACCATGATCATGGACCCCACACTCACTCAACCAACCCTCCCTTGCATTGATGATGTTGCCTAGTTGGGTCATGAAATGTCAGCAAGCAAACAACCAAGTTCAGAGAGCACCAAGAACTCCATAAACCACGGTCATGGCCACCTGCAATGCATTGCTCGGCCGTCATCAAGGGGGAAAGCAGATCGTCTTGCCACATCTCTTGGGCTGTCTCTGCACATCGATCTCAGTGGGAAGCTGACGAGGCTGTTCAATGTAGTATTCCAGTCAGACTTAGAAAAAGCTGCTCAGCCAGGACTGAAACTGGGGGAAAATATTTGCCCATGTTTTGAACACTGCAGCAGGGCCCACCCTGGCACAAACAGCCAACGGATGTGTGGCCCCTGTGGCTTTTCCAACAATGCCCCTGAACCATGTAGTTCTTGGGATAAAATAAAAGCACGTTTCGTCTGGCAAAGCCAGAAGAGAATGAATGAGATGTGTGTTTCAACTGCAGTGGCCAAGGTCAGATTTATTTTGTAGCTTAGACTCTCGTATGAGGTCCTGCTGCTCACATTATTTTGGAAAAGTTTTATAATCTAGAAAGAGCTCAGGTTTTGTTTCTTTTTGCTGGCTGGAATTTAGTGCACCAGTGAATTCCATTTCATATTTAATTATCCCCCCCAAGTCATTTTCAGGTTTTCAGCTGATATAAGCTTTCAGGGGTGTCCACTGGGTGGGATCAAAAAGGTCAAGATGGTGGCTGCAAGGGCGCCATGGAAACTCTGCCTCGTTCTATGGGCAACGCATAAAAACCAGGCAGAGCTTTGACGGCATGCTTATGGCCTCCATCTTGACTTTTTTGACCATACCCTGGGCTCACCCCAATGGCTTTGATCGTTTAAGAAATGATTCATATTTCCTCTCTAATAAGAAGGGAGATGGGAAGAAGAATCTCTTGGAGACATGATCCTGTAGAGCAGGGTTCCTCAACCTCAGCAACTTTAAGATGGGTGGACTTCAACTCCCAGAATTCCCCACCCA